TATTTGTTGATGTGATTTGTCTTTTGTTTTATCTAAGGACCTCTCATTGCAAATAATTCATATTATGTTAAATGGTGACCAGGCCAGCGGGGCCAGCTATGCATTAGGGGCGGCTATCCTTCTTTACTTTAAATTAAATACTATTTTTATTTAAATATCATTTCTATTACTGTAACCTTAATAATGTACACAAACACTGCCAACAATTACTTACAATACTGTACACTTATTTCTAAAATATTCAGATGAGAAATAGTTTAAGTAATACAGTATACAGTATTAATAAAATGATTACTTAATTTTATAATCACATACAATACATAATGTAACAAAAATATAATAATATTTTGAACAATTATTTCATGATTTAAAATAATAACTTTAGTAATAACTTCATTGTTAAAACATTAATAATATTTTAATTATCTTGCAATTTATTATTTTTGCCATGGTAATATCTTAATGTATATAAATATAAATTTTGTCAAATTATAATATGTTTACTAAATAATTTTTGTTAATTATATTTATTATAATAAAATTGTTTTTATTGTTGGAAACTTCCACAAATAATTTATCAATAAAAAACATTTCAGTGCTAATGTAATTATAATTAATAATAGAATATTAAATACTTTATCAAACTAACTAGAACTTCAAGGTAAATTAGCAGATTCTTGTTTTTGTTAATAAATGTAAAAGGTCTACATTTAAATGATATTAAGATATTTTGTATTATTATTTAATAAACCAATTTGCACATTAATTCATCATGTTGTTGGATATTATTAAAGAAGTAGCATATCATGAATCAGTTGTTCATGTAACTTATATAAATACAGATCACTCATATTATTGTCATCAATACAACCATGATAATATTACACAAAATGAAGTATTGTTCTACTATACCGAGGTATATTTATTATTAATTAATCTAATATAAATAAAGTTGATATACTTTTAATAAATTAATTATTTGATTAACAATTAATATCCTTTTAAGTCATATAATAATATGCGTGTCGACATTAACTTGGTTATTTTGCAATATATAACATGCAAATTAAATAAAATCGTTACGTTTACAAATATGCCTAATGTTACTGAAGATAAAAGGGTTAGTTTGTTAAAATATAAAGTAAATGCTAAGCTGACCAGATGTCAAGATTTGTGTCTAATTTTTAAAAATATTCAAATAAAGTGCAACTTCTCCATAGGGAACGAGCAGATGCACAGCCAAAGTGTTTTTTTTAAATAGAGAGAGTTTCTCCAAAAGTGGTTCAGTTATAAGTTTAGGAAATCCAAAATATAGTTCAAATACGTTCCTTGTGAAGAGGTGTTCCCCAAAGAGTGGTTGCACTGTATTTTAAACACGGTTTAAAGTTATAATTATATACATTAATGCCATTTATGAAATATTATAATTTTATACAGAATCTAAATCAGAGAAACACTTTACATTGAGATAAAATTTAATAATTTATTTTTACATTTATTAAACTAGACAATAGCTAGTATGGAGCTACAAAGTACATTCCAATTACCGCATATACCAAAAACATTTGACTATATGGCCGTATATTCGACGTATTTATTAGAAATCATATGTGGAGTTAAACAATCTAAAAATGACTCATTCTTATCATGGACAAGTCTTTTTGATAATCAAGTAAGATATTGATATACTAATTATAAAGTTATAATTAAAATCTTACATAAATATTGTAAACTTTATATACTTATTAAATGTACAAATCATTTATTTAACATGCAACAATAATTATAGATTTGGATATTTATAGCAATTTCATCGATAATTATTTCTCTGTTTATACGAATTACACATGAATTAAAAATTACTTTAATTTTTGATGCAATCTTTGAAGTATTTAAGGCTTTCTTAAAACAGGGATCGATTGTATTTAAGAAATATTATTTTATTAAAAGTATGAAAATGTTGGCAATTAGACCAATAGTGATAATTATGTATATATGGATAATAAGTACACTAATCATAACGAGTGCTTTTACCGGTGTTTTATTGAACACATATTTCAATGTAAAACTCATACCAATTGTGGAAACACTGGAAGATATTATAAATAATAAAGATTTAAGTGTTACGACTGGTGTTGAGTATAATATTGCTAATAAAGTATTAAATAAAATAAAACAATCAAATCCTAAATACAAATCACTTGTTAATAGAATATTTGAGGATTTTAAAAGATCCGGAATAGAATCAATGTATCTAGATAGAGTTGATAAAATAGTTGACGGTTCACTAGTGTTATTAGCAGATACAATATCAGCAAGGTGGTTTCGTTTAACATTCAATGAGTACTTAAACGCGTTTGGGTTTAGCAGAAGAAAATATTTTAATCAATTTCTTAATTACATTTATCACAAAAATTCAATTTATCATGATCAAATGAAGTTTGCGTACGTATTGTATACATTACCATGCTTATTGATTAAAATGTATTTTATATAACTAATTTATATAACTAATATAGGATTAACAGATTACTTGAGTGTGGATTTGTTTATTGGTTTGAAACTATTCAGGATATTCTCATCAGAATTTATTCACCCTTTTTATTATTGCGATCAAAAATAGACTCGCTTAATATTAACAATGACATTTTGATTAAAAATAAAATTACATTATACGAAATATATCACAATATTGTAATAATACTGTTAATCGGATATTTGGTCTCATTTATTATATTTTATTTTGAATTATTTATTTAAATACTGCATTACAATATTATTTTGATATTGTTATAAAACTAATTGATGTAAAGAATTTATAATATAAATATTATTTATTAATTAATTTATATTTATTGTATTTGATTAATAATTATTATATAACAAATTTGTTATAGTAATAATTTATAAATGTAATATACAGTATACACAAAAACTTGAATGAATTATAATACAAATATCATGTACTTTATAAAAAGGTGGTACTACTTTATATTTAAATTAATATTGATATAACTAAATGAAATATGTAAAATTACATGTAACTTATGCAAATATGTGCAGCGTTTTAAAATAATAAATAAATATTTTCAATAATTTGTTTATTTAATTGATTATTGAATAACTTCGAAATTAGTTTGTTCTAAATTATTTTAATTTCTTAATGACTTTTATATTAAATTAAATTGAGATATTTTATTTATTATAAAAATGCAAAAATATAACTCCACTTTGCACTAGACCTTTTGAACAATTAGCCAATTAATAAAATAATAGCTTAAATAATATAGTATTATAATTACTATTTTAACATAATGACTTTTAACACTTTTACTTATATATTTTATATAATAATTATATAATATTTAATGTGTGTTTTTGCGTAAATATAAAGTTACATTAGTTCATGGGAATAAACACTGCAAAACATTCCGACATAATGATTTGACAACTTTACCATCAGAATTATTTAATCAATAATTCATTCTTCAGAATTATTTAATCTTTTTGCAATTAAATAGTGATTTACAACACATAAACATAATATACATACATGTACTTAAAATTATTATTAAAACTAATAATTAAAATGAAAGTAATATTAGAGATAAACGAGAGACGAGCGGAAAATAAAGACATACAAAGTTTGTCCCTTTCGTGGCTTAATATACAGGTGTTTACAAAATGCAAGAAAAGTATTTATAGTTGCTTTAAAAGTAAAACAACGCCGAATGAAATCATCAAAAATGGTAATATTTTATACGGTAAAACACTAATTACATAACAAACGCAGATAGCTCACTTTAATATTAAATCTTTATGAACAGTTTAATATTAAAATATGCCAAAGATGCATGCTTAAAGATTAATGTTGTCCAAAAATAACTTTCTTATTTTATCATTTTGGAAACCACTATTACCATATGTAATTCACAAATACAATATTTGAACATATTTTGATATCAGCATTTTAATAGTAAATTATTCGTAAATATTATATTTAATTAATTAATTATTATACAGAAAATGGTATTGATAAATTCTAATTTAAATACAGTATAGATATTTTATATTATTGTTATAATGCATATTATTGTATAGTACAATATTTTGTATTATTAATACTTAATTATTACTTGATATTTTTATAACGGGGAATTTATAAGTGTGTAAACACATATTCGAAAGAATTTATTTTAATTAATAATTATTTGCTATAAACACATTAAATTAATAAACATACTTGACAATATTATTAATTTACTTAATTGGGTTTAGTTTTACAACTATTTAATAAATCCATATATTTAATTGTACTTTTGGAACAAGTGCTTTTTGAGATAATGACCTAACCTAGTGATTGAGCAACATGTTTTATATAAATGTTAATGAGTTTGTAATTAATTTTAGTCCTTAACAAACTTCAAATGTTATAATAATTACAAATATAAATGTTTAATATATCATTTTTAAATATATGAGAATTAATATGGATTTAAAAATTATTAAATCGGGTAACCAGAAAATGGTCAAACTCCCGCCGCCGTTTGATTACAAAAGATATTTGTATCCCTGTAGTGTCCGGTGAAGTAAAAAGTGGTCAATTGTTGGCAATAATGGGCGCCAGGTTTGTGTCATTTTGAATAACCTTGATCAAATTATTAAGACATTAAATGTTGGTTTACGTGTTAATACAGTGGCGCCGGAAAGACAACACTATTGAATGTATTGACGGCCAGAAACCTATCGAAACTACGGGTGAAAGGAGTGGTGCTATTGAATAAACAGGCGGTCAGTGCGGAGACAATGGCATCGCTTTCCTCATACATAGAACAACACGATTTGTTTCATCCGTTGCTTACAGTTAGAGAACATCTCGTTTTTCATGTAATTTTTATATTCTTTAATTATTTTTTAACAAAATTTTTATAAAGATTTATTGTTTAGTTAAAAATTTAATTTTTATAGTCAATGTTAAGAATGGATAAGAGTTTCTCTCGAGACCAAAGAAGCACTTTTGTAGACCAATTACTAATAAAAGTTAGTTAACTACACATCAAAAATATATTTAGGTTATTTATATCATTAACATTTTATGTAATATTATAATAACTAATAATATTGTTAGTTTAATTTAAGCAAATGTAGGGACACTCAAATTGGGGGCGATTTTGAGTTTAAAGGCATTTCTGGGGGAGAAATGAAGAGATTGTCGTTTGCATCTAAAGTTCGTATATAGTATTTATGTATTTTCATGATAAACATTATGGCCTTAATATTAATTAAATATAAATAAATAATTTTGTTTTCGTAGCAACAATGACTATGTTTAATTATGACCATGTGTTTACAAATTATCATTTATTTATTTATGTAGATTCTATCAAATCCTTCATTAATGTTTTGGTGAGATTGTTATAGTATTTTATGATGATTTAAAATATATTTATAATTGTTGTCATCAGTGATGAGCCGACGACTGGTTTGGACTCATTTATGGCCCAAAATATTGTGCAGACATTGAAGACAATGGCATCGGAGGGACGGACTATAGTCTGTACTATACATCAGCCCTCGTCTNTTGGACTCATTTATGGCCCAAAATATTGTGCAGACATTGAAGACAATGGCATCGGAGGGACGGACTATAGTCTGTACTATACATCAGCCCTCGTCTCAAGTGTTCGCTCTCTTCGATCACATCTTACTTATGGCCGACGGAAGGGTAGCTTTTATGGGCACAACTGGTCTGTAATACAGACTCTGTATATCATTTATAGCATGAAATAATTTTTATTGTTAAAATGTTATATATTTAGAGACAGCAAAAAACTTTTTTTCTTCAATTGGTTTTGTAAGAATTTTAATTTTTTAAATTAATTTAAATATTATTATACATATGTTATATATTATGCCATTAGATTTGTCCAAAAAACTGCAATTTGAGTGATTATTATATTAAAGAATTGGGTTTGTATTTAAAGTATGACAAGTAATTTTTAAATTAATTATTATTTTGATTAAATAGCCATTACTTCTAATAAATATGAGGAGAGCAGGATTAAAGTGAATGTACGGTATATTTGTTTTTATATATTTTATATGTTATTATTACATTTGTTTCATTATTATATACCCAAATATTATAAGACATAGTCGTAATATTTATTTAAACTTTTTTGATAGCAAATATGCGACAAATATTTAATATCAAATTTTTGTCAACAAATTTCCGGCAATAATAATGCGATTGAATGCCAAACGAGACACACATTTAACGACTCGTTCAGCGCCGACAACAATAACAGTACAAATGGTTGTTCGGGTTATAAGTGCTGCTTTTGGGCCCAAATGCGGGCTTTATTGTGGCGCTCATACCTATTAACCATTAGAAATCAACAAATTATGATGGCCCAGGTGATTTCAATGAGCGTATGTTCCTAATAAACAATTACTTTTAAAATTATGCACAATGATGTGCACAACCAACAATTTTACAAGATACTAAGATTATAGCCACAATTCAATCCACTATTTAGGCATATTCCTTACTTTAATCTCATTTCCATTTACCATAATTTCTAAAATTACAATTTACGAAAGATATCAATTCTTTTTGCATTACCTCATATGTGACTAACCTGTGAGAATTAGTTGCAAACCTTGTTTAAACTTTTGATATATAATAAGTAATTAATAAAAATATATATAAAGTATACAGTGTATAACTTGCTTTAGTATCTAATAATATATCTTTCTAGATTAACACATTAGTGATGTGCTGTATTTATTACAACCAATATCCAATATCAACTGATATAAATAATATTAACGGTGCTCTATTTATCAACTTGTCGTATATAAATACCGTATTTTCAATGTTGTGTGCTCAGGTATTACATAGAACTTACATATAACTTGATCGAAATTAAGAAAATAATTTAACAATTGTTATTATAATATATTATATGTTCTCGGTTACAGGTATTTGGTTCGGGAATCCGTTTATTCATTCGAGAGCACAACAATCGTATTTATGCAATTCTACCATATTTTGTTGCTACCATATTATTTCAAGTATTTTATAGTCATTAAATTATAATTATAGACACTAAACGGATGCATTTGCACAGTAAAAACTATTAAGTATTAGTAAAATACTATTTTTTCATTAGTTGCTGTATTACATGATATTGAGTGCGGTAAAGATAATAATTGAATATTACATAATTGGGCTCAATTCCGATCCCAGGTCATATTTCATCTGTATTGCTTTAAACGTGATGACAGCTATTTGCTCATCTTGTTTTGGTAGATTATATAATGATCATGATGCTTTCTTACTAATTATATAAATAATTTATTTTAGGTTACACATTGTCGACCATAACACGGGATGTTTCCACCTCAATATTATTATTACCAGTATTTACCATAATAATGCAGTTGTTTACCGGATTTATTTTAAACACAGGGTAATAATATGGTTTTAGTGCCTCACCTAAATTCATTTTATTTTTAAAATGTTGATCAAGATGAATTAATTGAATTGTAAATTTTATACTACAAGATCGCTACCAAATTGGTTGCATTGGATTCAATACGTAAATTTTCTACACTATGCCTACGAATCGCTTATTATAAACCAATGGCGATATATAGACGATATTCCGTGTATTAATGGCAGTCAATCTATAGGACAATGTTATGGCAATGGACTCAATGTGATTAAATCGCTGGGATTTTACGAAAGTAACATATATTGGGATCCAATTGTATTAGTATTCATGAGTTTAATATTTCTAATCGTGGCTTTCATTGGTTTAGTGTTTAAATCTAAACATGGTTAAATTTCTGACACAAAATCTAAATAAAATATTAATCAATATGTTATTAACTTTATTTAAATAATTGATTTGATTAGTGATTTGAAATGATATGTTAAGTTATCATTGATAACATAAAATAAAAAAGTTAATTTAACACGTTTAACCTTTTACATTTATAGTTTAAAAATCCTATTAAATCATAAATAAAAACTACATTTTAGAAAATAAATAATCAAAAGTAAAATTATTTTATATTTTGTGAATTAAATGAAAGGCATATTAATTGTCAACAGTTTATAAAATACTATAATAAAATAGTATATGACAAAAACATCTCAATTGCTATATCTATATTTTCAATGTCCGCCTTTTTCACTAATTGTTTCAAAATTTTTAATCACAATTCAGCAATGAATAATGTAGTTTATTTAATTGTTATAGGCAGGGCAATGAAATTGCATACTTGCATATATTTAGCGGTACATAGTATCAGTGCGAGTGTCCGGATGTCCACCGATCAAGTACTGGGGGTGACTTTAGCCGAGTTTATAAATGCATATTTTAAATATAAATGCATTTTAAGCGCATATTTATATAAATTTGCAAAAATGTATGCATTTTATGTATCTAAACAAATTGGTTTGGCTTTAATTTAAAAGTTTATTTAAAATTTAATTTAAAACACAAGTAAAATGTGAATTAAGTCACATAAAGTGGTTTAACAATATATTGCGCATATTTTTGATGTAAATTAACTAAAAACTTGTGAAGTTATATTTGTTCTAATGTTTGTAAAATTGCAACAATGGTTAAAATCAAAGCATATTTACACATAAACCTCAAACTATACTTTAATATTTTATTGAATAACTCTATTATTAATATTGGTGCAAGCATGAGCGTATTTATGCACATATTCAATGTAGTTTTATTTATGTATTATTAATAATATAAGCATAAAATTATATAAGGAAACTTTAGCAATAATTATTATTAAGCATATATTATAAGTAAAGCTTCCATTTTCCGGGAGTAAAAACATCCAAATTCGGGAATTAAAAGGCCAAAATCGGGAAAATTCGGGAAATACAATTTTACTCAATTATAACACAATCATTATACATATAAATCATTTAGAAATGAATTATATTTGATAATGACATGAAATTTAAGCTTTTTCAGTCTTCTATCTTTAAGAATAATCTTAAACTGAGAGAAAGAATGCTAGACTTCGACGGAGATAATCAATATATATTTTGTAAAACATGTTGTGGATTACAAAACATGTTTTGATTTCAGTTATATTCAGTTTAGAATTTTATTAAGAGTTTTGGTGAAATATTATAGTTATTAAATAAATAATTTTTGTCGAAAAATATCTAAATTCGGGAATATTTGTCATAAAAATAGACTTTTTGGGAATTTTCTCAAAAATATGCTAAAATCGGGAATTTTCCCAAAATAAGCCAAAATCGGGAAAAATCGGGAAAATGAAACTTATATATTTGTGGTCTATTATAACCCCTAAACCTAATGGTATATAATTCCCGATGATTTTGTTAACTATTTTATTCGGGAATTCCTGAAAATTGGAAGCCTTAATTGTAAGTAATATGGTATTCATTAGCGTAGAAATTGGTAAAACTTGAATAATTTGTTGTAATAATTTTTTGTTGGTTTATATTTTACAAATTTTACCATTTATTAAAACACATATAAATTCTTTTCTATTCATAAAATATGAATTAATTTGTTGTATATCTTGAAATTTATACTTATTTTGTATTTGTATTGGATTTTGTTCAATCCAATATTTGTTCAATTCAATTCAATCCGATTTCCCTATCGTTTTCATAGTATTCTCCACAAAAATATATACACTCTTTGAATGTCAAGAAATATGTGCCATAAATACTACAACTGATTGTTTTCACATTATTTAAATTTAGTATTAATTGTGGTTTTGATACTTTATAATCTGGTATATTTTGTCCCAATTCATGGCCTCTATTGTCGCCCCAACTGAACACATGTCCATCGGATGTGATGGCAAATGAAGAGCCGTACGAACAATATATTGATTTTATTGTATATTTGTCATCAAATTGTAACTTAAATGGTATCGAAATATATTCATCATTATTTCCGCAACCAATTTGACCCCAATTATTGCCACCCCAGGCATACACCCGGCCATCACTGGTTAAGACCATTGTGTGATAATTAGCACAACTAATTTGTGCAATCTTTTTATTTTCAAAATATGATATAAGTTCTGGTTTAATACAATCATGGCCAATTTCATCAGTACGTTCCAACTGTCCCCATATATTACAGCCCATGCCATATATCTTGTTGCGTTCATTCACTGCTAACACAAAATTCAATCCATTGACAAAGTATTGTATGTTTTGGTGACACAATTGTGGTATTATTTCTGGTGATAGTATAGGACTGTTGTGTCCAAAACCCAGACATCCGTCCATATTATTACCGAAACCAAAGACCATATCATCGGATGTTATAAACAATACATTAACACCTTTTCTCCAGTCATAGAATACATGCACTTTAGATATATTTTTCTTTAAATCATATGAAATGTTACCACAATTTGTTAATTTCTCTAACAATGCACACATTTTATAATAATTTTAATTAATATAAGTTAACTCAATTTAATTTGAAATATGTTTAATATTTTTATGTTAACAATACATCGCCATTACCCACTACAGTATTACGGTATATGTTATTTGTATAAACAAAATGAAACGTTATAATCAGTGAAACTAATGGAAACTGGTTTAATGGCAAAGAATTTAATAAATTATGTGATAACAACACTGTTTATAAATACATAAGTAAAGTTATAAAACATACTTCATAAACAACTAGAAAATGTTCTGATAACTAAGGCTTCGAATTTTCGGGAATTCCCGAAAAAAAATAGTTAACAAAATCATCGGGAATTGCATACCATTAGCTTTAGGGGTCACAATAGGCCTAAAATATATGAGTTTTATTTTCCCGATTTTTCCCGATTTTGGCACTTTTTGAGAAAATTCCCGATTTTGGTATATTGTTAGGAAAACTCCCGAAAAGCGACTATTTTATTACAAATGCCCCATAAATTTACTATTTTTAAGAAAAAATCTTTAAAAAAATGGATTTTCTATTAAAATTTTAATGAATTTGCTGACAGAATACCAAAACATGCTAAAAGTTCACATAATTTGTGATAAATTTAAAGTATATTATAGTAAAACATGTGAATATGATGTTCACTTACAATATACGACATGAGATACAAATGGCATATTTATTTGATTCATTATTTTTGCCTCAATAAATGTCATTATTTTGTTTCATTAGTGCACATAAACTTTTGAAAATCACTTAAGTACATAAACCCGGATTGAAAAGGGTTTGCATATTATAATGGCGCCATCTAGCGCCTTATAGTAATCTGGCGCCAAATAACTCCCATATATGACTGCATGTGATCATGCATTGTGAGGTACAACTGTGAGTCGACATGTTTTGAGCGCAATTCTACTCTCTGATTGGTCCACGATTTCACAATGCATGACGAAATGCAGCTTTTTGCCCAAGAGATGGCTCTTTTAAGTGCAAAGAGAGCTCGGTTTGGGTTTAATTACTATGTGAAAATTCAATAAAAACGTAATTCCCGAATTTTCCCAATTTTGCCATGTATACTCCCGAATTCCCATGTTTTTATTCCCGAAAAATAGAAGCTTTACTGATAACTAATTACGAGTTTTATTGTGTTTTACACATTAAAAAGTCATAGAAAAATATATTTCCGTTAGATTTAAGAGTATTTTGTATTGCATTAAAATCTTTATGATTAGTGATAAAAGACTTATTGATAGACCAGTTGTCATATTCATTTAGTATTTGAATACTTGTCGGTCGTTTAGTATCCATAGACTCAACCATTGACCAATAAATATCATTTAATTTGTTAAAATTGGCCGAAAACGTGGTTAAATCATAGGTTGGATAAGAATAGCTAAAAATAAAACATTGATTAAAAATTTTTAAATTAAAATTTAAAATAATAAACTTTAATTAATTAGTAAAATAACAGTAGGTATGTTTAAATAATTACATTTCAAATATTTGTGCCACAATGATTCCCATACTAAAAACATCAACTTTACAGCCATATTTGGGTAAAAACCCCATTTCCGGTGCCATATAGTTGATTGTCCCGACGTTCGTTGTGTGACTCTTAGATGTCCGATCGTGTTCGGTAGCCAAACCAAAGTCACCTAGCTTGATATTTGTATCGTTCATTGAAATCAATATGTTGTCGGGTTTTATATCCCGATGAATAATAGGCGGCAAAAATTCATGAATAAATTTAAGGCATAGCAAGAGTTCCCGAAGTATTTCACACGATATAAAATACTCGAAAATAGTCATCGGTTCTGCCGGTGATTGTCTGCCAAACACGTGTTGCTTTTCTTTGAGTACAGAGCCGAGTGTTTGCGGGCAGTACTCCATATGAATGTAGAGATGTTTGTCTTCGGTCCAGGAATCGTAATATCTGACCACAAAATTTGAGATCAATTTTGCTAAACATTTTACTTCATTCATAATTCCGTTTTTCTTTTCTTGGCTAAAATCTGTGATATTTTTAAATAAAATTTTTTATTTAATTAATTAAAACTAATGTTAAAATAAAATTTTAATTACAAAATAGTAACTATGTTTACCTCTAAATAGTACTCTTTTTATGGCATATATCTTCTGGTCATTAATATGCTGTACTTTAAATACTTTCCCAAAACTACCTTCACCAACAGTAGCGATCTCAATGAACTGTAGTTTATAATTACCCTCGTTTGACATATCACTTACATTTGTTAGCATTTTGTTTGGAAATTCAATTGAAAAGTTATTTAAGTTGTTAAACATTTATATTTAAAATTTATACATGTATTAATATATAGATGTAATATAAAATTTATACTAAATAATAGTTACAGTACTCAACGCCATATTACAAAATGCAAACGATAGCAATAATCAGTATAATGATTAAGCCTCCTAAACTAAATAATAAATTTGCAATATAGTTGTATAAATAGCAGTACTCTGATTGTTAAATACGTTTTACCTTTATGTTATTCATAATGTATTGATTAATCTCAACAAAACAATGATACTAATTTCATAAGCATATTTTTTTTGCATAAAATCTAGTTAATTAACTTACTAGCTAACATTAATTAACTAAATAAAATAATTTTACATAAAGTTGCATAATGTAACGTTAAATTTTATTCATAATTAATGCAAATGAGAGAACACAATGAATGTATGAGCATGTTTATTTCATTTTCGGCTGATGCCCAGCAGATATAGTTTATTAGTTTTAGATATTATTGGAAATGCAATCATATTTACAGTAAATGATTGTAATTCTAATCAATAGCAAATGAAATCATTTTTTATTATTATTTTAATTCAGAATTATAATTATTGTTGTAATTGAGTTTTAAAATGAAATTAATAATTAAATAAATGAAATATTAATAAACGTTTGTACACACAATTACATGTACTTTAACTATAATATACTGTAACTGTAGTACAGGTATATTATACTGTATATGCATAACATTACATAATACTGTGTTTAGTTACGTAATGCAAGTCTGTGTACGCATTATATTACGCATATGTATTATACGCATGTTTTATAAATGTGTTTACATTTTAAAATAATGTCAAAACTGTATTTATTCATTTTAAAATAATTTTAATAATCAAGGTGATTTAAAGTGGCGTCGGAACACCGAAATAAAACTGCCACTGCAATAATGGACCAGGGTGATACTCGGGGTGGTGATAGACCAGGAAATGGAGGTATGCTATAAAGTTAATACTATAACATTGATACTATTAATTATAATTGTATGATTTAAAACAAAATGTGCTCGTGTTTTAGGTGCAGACAACACACATCTACTCATACAATACGGCATTTTAATTGTTGTGGCGGTGAATGTGGTAAACATAGTGGGCGTTGTCTGGACGTGTGTCGGGGCGTTGGGCGCCCTGTGGCTCATGAGACCCGACGATATAACACATGTGTTAAACCAATTGAGTAGTAGTGGTGGCGGCGACGGACACCGGGAGACTCGGACCCAGCCTCAGGACCGATCGGCACAGTTACTACAGAGTGTACGCGACGAGCTAGGTGATCACGAGTCACGAATCAACCGTGTTCATCGTGAAAATAAGGCTATTTTAAAACAGTTAAAAGCGCTGAACCGGCGCACTGACCCCGACTCGACCGTTGCCCGGCAACAGGTGGACAACGGGCGCAAGATTGTTGAGTTGCTACAAAAACATGATGATAAAATTGATGCCCTAAGCCGCACTGTTAGGGAACTGAAGCGCCGCCCCCGACATAGTAGCCGCAGCTCGAGCTCGAGCTCCGACTCGAGTTGTGAGCGCATAACTAATAACACTTATAATAATTATATTGATAATAGGATGACCAACAATCACTACGAGGACAATAGTATTAGTGTCAAAATTGGCCCGATTTCTGTGCCCTTACCGTTGCCTGGTATGGGTGGGGCTGGCTGTGGGTTGGGTGCAGCTATGAAATGACTGAGTGGTTCGTCCCGTTTACTAAGATTAAAATAATAAATACTAAAAGTGTTTCTTAATTATATGTTTAGAATTTAACTTACATTAATTTAAATTGCTTAATTTATATTAAACTTTCAATTTTATTAATTATGCGACCAAGTGGAAATTTTCTGTGCCTCATTTATACTGATAATTTATATAATGTTGCATATTTATAATCATTATAACAATTTATATTTGTATTTATAATTATACATATTATGTTTGATTTCTATTAAAATTTTAAAAAATAATTTATGTATTCATGAACTTCAAGTTTAAATTAAGTATTTTATTTTAAAAAATTGTAAAAAACAATATCCTTATACAGTACAGTATTTATATCAAGATAATACAACTATTCCAGATACTTAATTACATTTTAATCAAATACTTGAAAGTATATTTATGTAGTTATTAATGTAGTTATAATAGAAATTGTTATATGATATTTTGTAAATGACATTTCGCATTAATTAAACTATTGATTACGGCTCCGTCCATACAAGGTGAACTTACACTTGAACAATCTACTTTTACAGATAACAATGGTTGTGTACTGGAGTATATAAAGCTGGTAAGTTTTTTCAAACAAACAAGGTCTTTTATAGTTTACAGCGCTCATATTAGTTTACTTAAATATGTGCACACAATTAAACATAGCTATAGCCGTGTGTTGGCTAACAGCCGGCGCTTACGGCACCTGTACTTATAAACTGAGGACTGAGTTCACGGGCGCCACACAAGCGGAGTTTGATTTAAGCGGTGAGACCGGCGACTGGGCTATCGATATGGTGTTTGACGCTAAAGTTAATCTCAAGGTAAGTCTATTTTTATAAATAATTAAAATTAACATGATAGTTTAATTATTTGTTTAATTATAGATAATGAGCGGCGGGACAGTAAAAAGTGCCAGCGTTGACGAGCTTAAATTCACCATAGGTGGCGAGCAGTTAAAACCTGGTGAAACTCATACGATTTCCTACGAGGCCAGGTATGATGGAAATCCGGGAGCTAATCTTATCAGGTGTGTTTGGCAATCCAATATTTTTGCAAACTTATAAACAACATTATGATAAACTTATAACTATGATAACAATTTTAATACTAATATAGCGCCACATTTAAAGGCAAACCCATTGATATTGGTAAAAATAATATGAGTAATGCAAATAAATATAACTAATATTATTATAAACATGTTTAGGGCCGGTGTCTACTGTATGGCCAGTCACTATAGTGCCGGACGGAGAGCCGGGTCATTACAACTACGGGGCTGTGATTCACGCCTCCCTACTCTTCTATGAGGCCCAGAGATCCGGGAAATTACCCACAGATAAGAGGGTTCACTGGAGGGGAGACTCTATGCTCGACGACGGCAAAGATGTCGGCAAAGACCTGACCGGCGGTTACTTCGATGGTATGCTCTCTAGTATTGTAGTGTTTATTGAATATTACATTAATGTTTTTAATTGCATTTTGTTGTAAAAGCCGGTGATTTAGTGAAGTTTGGTTTCCCAATGGCCGCCTCTATGACACTACTAGCGTGGGGTGTCGTCGACTATCCGGACGCCTACCAAAAGGCCGGCGAATTAGACAATGCCCTGAAGGCTATCAAATGGGGCACCGATTACTTCATTAAAGTATATCAAAAAATTGTTTATTAATTTTAATGTTAACATAAATTATTAAATACTATTTCATTAACACTTCATATTTAGTGCCACACGAGTGATACCGAGTTTTACGGACAGGTGGGTAATGGCAATGAGGACCACGCGGTGTGGGGCCGACCCGAGGACTGGCCTAAGAGTAAAGTGAGGCCCGCGTATAAAGTGACGACAGCTCACGGAGGTATCATTCAAACACACTTTACAATTGTATTGTTATTATATTAACAATTTTTAATAATAATTAGGCACCGATTTGTTGGGCGAGACGTCGGCAGCTCTGGCCGCGGCCTCCATGGCCTTCAAGGCAACGGATCCCAACTATTCGGTCACACTTTTAACTCACGCCAAGTCTTTGTATACATTTGCGGACAAACATCGGAGCACTTATACGGTAGAGATCAGTGACGCCCAAAACTTTTACAAATCGTGGTCGGGTTTTGGCGACGAGTTGGCCTGGGCTGCCACGTGGCTGCTCAGGGCTACCAATGATAGCCAGTATAGATCGGAAATTGACAAACATTTCAACGAGTTTAGCGTTCAGTTGACGGGAAGGCCCACACAGTTTGGTTGGGACGATAAGACCGCTGGGGTTCAGGTGTTGGCGGCCGAAGTGACCGGCGATCAAAAGTATAAGACTTTGGCCAAGAATTTCTGCGATTGGGTCGTCCATACGGCGCCCAAAACACCAAAAGGTATGTCACAAAATATAGTGTACATTAAAACTCATACCCCTACAATATCGAAAAATAACCTATTTGTAAATTATATTTATGAACATGTTTAGTTCATAAATATTAACTTACAGTTTATAAAATGAAATTTTATTGCAAATACTGTAAATTAAAAATTGCACAAAACACTCAAAAGATCCGTTTGAATACATATCCAGCAATAATCGAGTTGATAGTTGTATGTTTCAATATAATATATAAGTTATTATTAATTTATAGTTTGTAATTTGTAATTCAAATGAATTATTATAAATATTAATATTATAAACTAAAATAATATAAGGTTTGCCTGATATAACAAAAACGCGTTTTATGCCCAGTATTATAGAATTGTACGTTTCATATCTAAACATGTTAATTAAGTAAATTACTTATTTACAGCTTATAAATAATTACAAAACAAATTATTATAATACAAGAATACTAATAGTAAAGATCCCATAATATAATACATAACGATCAAAAATGTCCCAATATAACTGTCTTTTGTTCTTTTACCTTTAGATGTATATTTCATTTATATTAACTTATAGTTTATAAACAAGCAATTAATTATCATGGTAAAATTATAGGTATGGTTTACATCGATCAATGGGGAACACTTCGACACGCGTCTAACGTTGCATTCGTTTGTCTCCAGGTTTGGACAGAATTAATCATTTTAAACATCAATTAAGTTTATAATAATCAGCAGTTTTAATACAAAACACTATTACATGATTAAAGGCGGCAAAAGTGGGCATAAATCCGGAAGTTTACAAAAAGTTTGCCGAATCGCAAATAGGGTACGCATTGGGCGACACCGGCCGCAGCTTTGTGGTGGGCGTCGGTGTCAACCCTCCCACGCGACCCCATCACAGATCGTCGTACGTTATATGTCCTCAAATCACATTTACCTACATTTAAAAAATTAATTCTCACCCCGTTTAAAAAAACCACTCTAAACAACCATATAGTTCGTGTCCTAATGAGCCGGTCATATGCGACTACTCTGCGATGTCAAACCCGGGCCCCAATCCGCAGATACTGACGGGCGCACTGGTGGGCGGGCCCGACAAGAATGACGGCTACGCCGATAAACGCGACGATT